CTTCCTACCTTTGAGCAGATCAACACTCCCAACCCAACTTCATGTCATCTACAAACTTACTGAGGGTGCACTTGATCCTCTTGTCCATATCATTGATAATGATATTAAACAGAACTGGCCCCAGTACTGAGCCCTGGGGAACACCATCTGTGACCGGCTGCCAACTGCATTGAACTCCATTCACCACAACTCTTTGAGCCCAGCCATCCAGCCAGTTTTTGACCCAACAAAGAGCACACAATACTAGCTCTACGTTCAACACAGAGGGAAACTGCACAAACAGCATAGCTTTTGCCAGTTCACCAAGCAAGATGAGCTATCCTGGCAAAACGGTATTTTTATTGGTATAATTGAATCTCTGCTAATGAACTTTGTTGAAACTGCTTCTTCATTTAACAGTCCAGGCTGATGTAAGAACTCTTGACAACCTCAAAAGGACATACAAGGGAATGGATATATTTCCTCAGCCATTCTGATTAAGCTAGGTCCAACAAATATAGAGATTATTTACTTCAGAGAAAGCATTACTAAAAGTAAGTACTAAAAAGAAACAGGGAATTGACTAGATTCTTTGGAAATAGAGAAATACTTTAGTAAATGACTCCTTACCTAATGTTTTGACAGGGTCAGAATAGTCAGAATCTGTAAACTGTCCTTTAACATTAGTTGCTCTGAACTTAAATCTGTGAAATAAACCCAAGAAAACTAATGAAATAAAAGTTTCTGCGCATTTTCTTAAATATTATTTCACTTTGAAACTAAAATCTATTTTTCAGTTTTAGTATAATATAAGCTGGAATCATTAGTCACCTGCTAAAGTGACGTTAAGACAGATATCAAGTACTTAGTGTCAACATTTTAAATGTATAATCAAACTATATGAATTACTTATCTTGAATTTGGACTTATTTAATTTAAGAACTCAGTAAGAATCTTTTGTACCTGAAACATTTTAAAACTATTTGTCTCTCATATTTATGCTCAGCCAAAAAATTAGAGACATATGAAGATCATTTCACTCTCCACCTCTTCATAATTGAACCACATTTTGTATATTTGTATAAATGTATATTTCACTTAAATCTTTCTCTTGGACAAACATAGAGATAAATGTACTTACAGGTACTGCTTTCTTGGTTTTAGTGGGCCATTACATATTTTGTCTTGACTGCCTGGTATCATACATGTAGTATCAGCACCTATGACATATATCTCTTCTCTGCCACTCAGATCTTCTTTTTCTTCTGTACATGGTGGGTTAGGAAAGCCTTCATTTGTAAAATATGGCCTCGGTCTGTTGAAGTATGCATCATACCACTTAGTAACGTTCCCATCATGCTGAGCTATTGTCAAGAAAAAGAAAATCAGATATAATTTACATTCTAACCGGACTGTAATAAAAGAAGTTAAATATGAAATCAATTTTTTAAGAGCCATCTCTATTTTGTAAACTCAGAATAAGTCAACTGAATCACATCTAGAAAACTTCATGGGCAGTCTCGCACATGAGCTTTGCCTGTAGAGGACAGCACTTGTGCAAGACACTTGACTTTGAAACTGAGCATGGCTAGCAAAGACAGTAGAAAGTGTTTACTCTAAAGACAGTAAAGACTGTTTCATAAATGAAATTAATAGATTTTCATAAGTGGAAAGGAGCCAGCAACCCAGGAGAAAAATCTTCAAATGTTGCTTATCCTGGTATTTGCATACTTATCAGTTCAACAGAATCTTCACAGCAATAGCCACGAAGAAAATGTCTGTAGTATTAGTGCTAAAATGCAAGATCCAGAAAAAGGCGAGAGACTTAATGTGAATGTAGTTAATGTGAACGCTTTACTTGTATACTTTGAAAGCAAGTAAAACAAGGGAATTAAATGCCTGGAATTTGTCCTTCTTAGGTAAAGTAAGCCTGACCATATGATGTTCTATCATGAAACTCCCACTCAGACTGGTAGGCAATTACTCAAAAGAGTATCATGGCACTGTTCATATAAGTAAATGTTCATCAGTCTGTACAAGGGAATACACATTCTGACCCACAGTCTACAGAAGGGATTTATATAAATCCCTCTGCCCCCGTTATGAAATGGAAATATCAACTGCACATGACTGCAAGCTTTTACAGGCAACACTAATAGCAAGAGAAGAATAACCTTGCAAAAAAAAGTTTCAGATTTATTTAACTTTTACAAATGACAAGTGTATTTTTTGTTCAAGGGAATAGGAAATAAATAAATATAATGATAACAATAGGGCCAGAATAATATCGGTCACTTCAAAGAGTATGGATGATTTCATTGACAGGTGTTCCCAAAATCCAGTACTCAGCCCACAGGTATTGTGAAAGATACTTTGCTCTTAGTACTAGTTGCCACAGCTAAAGTGACTTTGTTAGCTGTTCTCTAACATGAAGTTACTGAGATGCAAGAAAAGAAATAAAAAAGGCAAACAGCCAGAAAATAAAGTGTGGTCCAGAGTACAAAATAACCTGAAAACAATTTTCAAGAGAACTTATAAAATTCTACCTCCAGCTTCCACAACAAGAACTTGTATCTTCTTGATAGGGCCATGATCATCACTGTAATAACATATCGGCATTCTGATCGTAATTGTTGTAGCTGTGACGAGTAACGCCCCATTGGTATCATAAACTGGTGCTGGTTTCTTTTTAGGCCGTGGTGGTTCTGTTTTTAAACAAATATAAACCACAGAGTTTTGTTTTAAAATATTTTCACTACAAGGACCCTGTTCAGGCACGTAGCTGTGTTATGCAAGACAAATCTTTGACATATTTTCAGGGACAACTTAATGTTCTACTTAATGCCTTAAGCCTTTAAAAACTGTATTCTGATAAATGCCTCTGCAGATCAGTTTTCAATTGAAAGAGAAAACAATAAAGAGACTGAGACTTCATTTTTCAATGAATTTCAATCAATGACCGTATTTATTTCCACAGTTGTGATACTGTATACTTAGCTATACCTCTGTGATATTCTTCTAAGCTGTTCACTGACAGTAACTAAAATACTGAAGTCAATGTGACTACCTCACTAAGTCTGCACATGGTTTACAGTATCATTCAGATACAAACAGCAAATGACCAGTGATGCGCAGCAAAATTGAGCACTGCAATTCAAGGCCATCGGTCATATGTTCTTGTTCCTACATTATGCAGCCTCTAAAAGACAAAAGCACACAGTTGTGTACTCACAGGCAGAACAGCAATTTCTTCAGCATTAATACAGATTTCAGAGAAAGGGTACTTTATGAGACATACCTTTGATATCCATGGTTATTTTCAATTGAATTTTTGGCCCTGCACCAGCACCATTAATTGCATACACCTTAAAAAAACAAACACTTGTTTTAATGAGTATTTGAAAGAGCTTCAAATTGACCAAATCTGGATGTATTTGAAGCAACAATGAATGCTGAAACACTCCTTTTGTCATTCATACTTTGCTAGAACTTACTTCATATTTCTTTACAATCCTAAGTGCAGTGACACTTCATCGCTTATAATGCAGCTCTTACAAAAAAGCAGAATAACAAGCCCACTTAAACAGCTATGTTGCCACCTTTTATGTCCTACTCTCTAATTATTTGAAAGGACTTCCTGTGCATACTTCTAGCAAGCTCCCCTTGCAGAACTGGACCTTGCATCTGAGCCAAATGAGCAATGCAAGTAGTGGAAATAAGACAGAGATTTAGTCTTGCACTTGTGGTGATGCATCACAGGCTGCTTTGCTAGCACATGAACTGGTGGTCCAGAGCACGAAGCTCCCTCCTCATTGCTCCCTCTATTCCTCAGGCTTGTCTCTCTTCACACCCCAGCTAACATTCTCAGCATGAAAAATCTCATTATCAGCCTAGGCTTGTGTTCCCTATTCAGACTAATCTCTCACTTATATCAAAGAAAAAATCCAAAGAAAAACTATCAGTTCTTACGCTGACATTATAGGTATGTCCTCCTTTTAGTCCTTCTATCATGGCAGTGACTGACTGATCTGTTTTATCAATGACACTAAGGTTATGGATCCGGATGGCAGCAGGGTCATCTTCATTGTAAACCATAGCTTGATACACCTGAATATTTCCATTTGGTTCAGATGGCGGCAAAAATGTTACTTGGAACTTTGTTACTTCATCCGGTATCTTCTGAAACGTTATGTTGTTAGGTGGGTCTTCAGGCACTGAAAGAAATATTTCAATGATCCACTTAATCAGTTTACTGATATTACTATTAGAGTAAAACCTGAAAAATTACAAATTATATTTTTGCATATCAGTATTACTTCACTGGTATTTTCTGTTTTTATTTAAAACATCTCAAACATCATTGCATATGTAAATATTTATAAAGACAACAAAAAGTTAAATATTTAGTGAAATTGTATTCTTAATGATAGTATTTGAGGCCACAAATATTGAAAGGAATGATTAGATAACCTTCTCTACTTAGAAAATTTTCTTCTGATTTTCTACTCAGAAAGCCTGAAGGCCTCATTATACCTTGAAATACATCTGGGGTAAACAAATCCTTGCATGGGTTGACAAGCAAGAAGCAAGTGTTAGTCTTGAGTATCCCTTTCTGAAAGCCCTCTGTCAACAGCAAGCTCCCGCCCAACATATAAACAAGCTACTGTGTTCCTAAGCGTCTCTGCTTATCCCAGCTAACTCTTTAGGAAAAAACTTTCTACTAGCTGATGCCCAGACACAAACACAACCTGCGTTTTTTCCCAAAGGCAGCTTTTTGTCAAACACTTATTCCAGTAGCTTATTCTCAAGACAGCAAAGGTATAAATCATTTTCCCAATGTCCCTATCTGAAAGAAAGGGCTGTAACATTCTTTCCAGGCAGCTAATTATTTATTGCTCTACCTGAGCAGACAAGTATGTAGCGTGACCTCTAAATAGCAAAATCAAGCAACTGAAGGTAAACACATTCCCTCAGCCAAGGATTTAGATGCAGTTGTCATACCTTCCAGGTTTTTTACACCAGCTAACAAATGCTTACTCAGGCTCCTCTGGAGTAAATCTGTGTAAAGTGGTCCTAACACAGCCATATGCTTGACTGCACAAACCAGATGAGAGATTAGATGGAACAAATAACTATTCCTCTCTAAGGTTACTGCACCTCCTAATGTTTCACATTTTTACGTAAGAATTTTTACATAAGAGAAAGGGTTGCCAAAAAAGATGGCTCACAGGACAGACCTAGCTACCACCTAATGTAATCTTCATTCATTTTTCCATAGTAAAAGACCATATCCTCCAGGGATATAAACAGGTAATGAAATCCTTAGAATTTAACATATTAAAGTCATTAGAGAGATACACACACATACACACACTCATATCATATCATACCATATCATATTATATCATATCATTAGGGACACTGGATTTTCATACATCAAAGGAAAGATAAATGATAAATACAGTCACTGTATAGTATGTCTAAATCTGAAATTAACCCGAGTATATAGCTAAAAAAGCTGACCTGCAGCTAACCTGACTAGAGATAAGGCAATTGTAGTTTATACACAGTTGATAATTAGCTTGAATGAAACAAATCTTCAGTATCTTTTCAGAAAAAAATTGTTTTTGCTGTTTTGTTTGTTCGTTTGTTTAAATATCCTTAGTGAGTAACTCAAAACCAGCAAGGATAGCACACTGAGCATAACCAGGAGCTATGTATGTAAAGGTTTCGAGTTATCTTCCCCATGTACATCCGTTTATATTTTCCTAAGCAAACGTTATCTGTAATGTAGCCTCCCAGTATCATAAGGTCCTTACACAGTTCCTCACTCCCATCTCTCAATTTTATTTCTCTGTGTAACTTAATAGCATCAGCAACTTTTGTCACCTTAGTATCTACCTTATTCCCCAGACGGTTTTGAATCTGTGGAACAGCTGACTCAAGCATAGACCCCTGTGGGCCTTCACTAGCAACCTCCTTCCACTGACAGTACACCGACTGTGTGCTCAAGGCAGTACAGGTACCATTTATGAATGGTAGGATTCACTTAATACAATTTTTATATGTTTAAAATTTGCATCAAGACCAAGGATGTTGTATAGAATCTTCAATAGTCTCTTAAGGGAAACAGGCACCTCCACAGCGGGGAGTTATCCCTTCCCAAAACAGGTACCTAATATACACATGCTAATACAGATAGGACTTCTCTTCATTGACTATAGAAATAACCTAGTCAGCTGTGTTCCACACATCCATATTTTACGTGAAGCAAGCTATAATCTCTGCATTACTGAAGGTAAACCTTAGTATTTATTACCATCATCACTTTTTTGTTGAGTGCCACCTTTTTAAATATTTAAGAAAAAATATTGTGAGAACAAATCTGCATTAAAAGTGCACCATGTGTTCAAAACTCTCATTTATTTGTCAGATGAAAGAAAACCTGCAAAGTTTGATCCATATAAAATAGAGAAAAATACAAACCTGCTTCAAAAGTGGAGACAATTACTGGAGAACTAGCCTTGCCTTCAAGGAGTGCAGCATTAACATCCCCCGTAAAGGCAATGATTACTACAGAATACCTTGTAAATGCTTTTAAATCAGAAATTTCTATGACTTTACCCTCATCATTTGTCTTCAGAAATTGAGCTTTGTAATTGTCATTATCTACCTGTAATATAATAATAATAATAAAATATTATTAAGACTTGAAACAGCCCAAAACAGCATATTATTTGGATATAACTTTTATCTTTCTACTTTTCTAACCATTTACATAGAAGGGTTCACAAGAAGTCTCTAGTTACCAAGACTAGAAAGCTGTATGCTCCCATCTCACCTCTTTAGCACTTCATATAGTATGGGATTAAGGTAATGTGCTATTTGTTTGGTGCTGACTTCCACCAAGCAAACATGAACTGATTGGTAGACACTGGCCCAGGGGAGCTGTAGTGACCTGTAATGGGAATCAAGGTAGGCAAAGATCTAGAATATGAGCAGCTATATATATAGCAGAAAATTGGAATACAAAAACAAAAAGAAAATTGGGTGGCAATCTTGATATGACTGCAGAAAGCGCAACTCCTCTTGGGATATATTAATAGAAGCACAACTTATAACACAGTGGGGAGGGAGTAATTCTCCTACCAGAAAAGCCAGAAAGCAGAAATAATAGGGGTTTAATCTAGCAAAGTGGGGATGGCAGAAGACATACTAATAACTTCAAAATATAAAAAGAGATGTTACTAAATGGAAGATAATCCATTGTTCCTAGTGTTCATGAAAATACAAATAGAAATTTTATTTGCACAAAAAAAAATTACAATTAAAAATTACAAAAACTGCAATGATATACCTAAATATGTAACTGAAACTACGACTACAAGTTTAGTTAAAAGCTATACAAATCTATTGAGGGTTGCTGAGCAATTTTCAGCACTGGACATTTTTAAGAACAGGATAATGAATAATTTGTGAGGAAGACTTTAGGTGCATGTGTTTCTGTATTAGGGCAGGATATGGACTGGATTATGTTTTGGGACCCCTACCATCCCTACATCTCAAATAATCTGTAGTTCTGTAGAAAAAACCTACAGTGTTTGGCTTTATCTCCAATTAAGCACTTCTAATGCTAGCTTAAGAAAGGAGAAAAAGGAGAAAACGAGAGCTTTTCTACTGTTTGATCAAGTACCATTTACAAAATTCTTTTTGTGTCTATTCCCACTACTTCAGTTAATGATGTTTTCATTATTGTTTTTTCAGTGTTTAACTTGAAAAGAGGATTAGGTAGCTGTACAGTAGTTTTCCCACTGGATGAAATCTGTATTAAATGCAGCTGCTAAAACATTAGAATAGTTCAAGCATACCTTTTATTTGACAGATATGCATCTATCCCCACTGAGAATTAACCTGAACTAAACTTTCTGATGGACTAAACAGACATTCATTTCCTGGGGTGGCCATCAAGAGCTGAACCAGTTTTTCCTATCTGACTATCAAAAATCTGGCATATAAATATTTATACTAGGGCTAAAATGCAATCACTACGTCATTAAAAGTATTTCTATTCTTCCTGACGTTTAAGGGTTTAGTTCCATCTTCCTTACTCATTTTCAGTAATATTTTATTCAGGACTACTTCTAATTATGGTAGGCAGCAAGACAAACTAAAATATGACTTGGAGAAATAATAATGAGGGTCTGCTTTTTAGTTTTTCTGATCTCTAAAACTGCAAGGAATATCCTAGCAATTTAACCAGAACCCTAATACATTCACTAATACACTACCTTTAAGAATAAAGATATCACAGAATAAAAATCTGAAATTAGTCTGTTCTGTGAGCCTGTTTTTATAAATCCTTAAAGATACTCAGTTAGGAATTAAAATGAGTAAAGTTATACATACAGGAAGTTTGTGAAATTTGGAGTTTTCATAAAAAGTTTCCCACTGGGACAATAAAATATATACTCAAACTTTAACTGAAAAAGATTGTGACAGCTTTATTGGTCTTTAAGAAGGAATAGATTTGTCTACTAAGGCGATTACCTACAGAACTGACACCTGTAGTTACTGATATTAGCAGTCAACACCTGATTACAAGGAATCCCTAAATATAAAGCTAGACACCTGAAATACATTTGAAAAAAACCCACTTTGTAAAAACAAACCCAAAGCCTTCCAAACTGAACATTTAAAAGAGGTTTTCTGAATGCTGGCAGGCTCATATGAAACATTGCAAAATTCATCTTACTTTAGGAATTTTACTGTAAGTTATATAGATAAGGTATTTATAATATTTTTATAGTGTAGAATCAGATGACACCCTGTTTATAACTTAGAAATTGTTTAAATAGAAATTCATGAAATATTACACACACAAAAAAATCAAGCTTCAAAAAGTGAATTTGGAACTTTTATCAGAAGCATGAAAATAATGTTTTCTGTTGATGTATTATAATGCTGTTTAGTCAAAAGTGACAGGAACTTTTCACAAGGAAAAAGTCTTCTCTAACTGTAGTAAAGGAGAAATAAAAATCATTATGTAGTTTCGAGTGACCTACCCAATGGGCCAAGGAACCATTCTTTCTCTGTTAGTATTCCCCTTGTTATTGTACATCCTCCATCCTGTCGTACTATTGCTGCGGTAGGTGTGTTCAGAACTGAACGGATCACACTCTACATATTGTACAATGAAGTTAGAGGAAGACACAGTAGCAGGACTACACATTACTCTCTCTTCTAACTTTACTGAGGAGCTTAAAAATATTTGGTTCTTTTTTACTGATCTCCTTAGAAATTTTGAATGCAGAAAAATCTCAGCACTAGTATTTTAGCACATCTGTAATTTTTACAACTGATTCAGAAACATTGAAAATATATATGATAGTCTTATTCTTTTCCTCTTTCCTCAGAAAACGGAAAGAACTTTCAAATAGTTTGAAGTAGAATTTTATTTTTTTTTCCCTATTACCTAGCAGACTGATTGAGGATTTTTGAAGCTGCAAACAGGAAGTTTTCCTGGGTAAAGTCTGGCAAACTGCCTCCCATTTTCACCGATAGCCCTGCCTATATAATTTCTGGAAGAACAGGGAACGTATATCCTACTTAAAACTTCTCCTGAGTTCAAACTTAGAAAGTTTCATATCTTGCCACAGGGCAGGAAATGAGGTTTATTAATCGTTGTTTTAAGGAGTACTGTAAGGGTAGTAGAGGATGAAAAGAGAAAGGCCACTAGAGCTTTTCTCTTATGTCAGCCTTTTTTTTGCTTATAAAGATCAAGGAGAAAGGAGTGTTATTGTTGTGCTACCAAAACACAGCTAATCTGATGGACAAAGAACCAAGTGGAAAGTGGGAAATCTAGTTTGACTTTCAAGTTTGCCCTCTGATGCAGTGTAACTTTGTACAAGTCACTTCCTTTTGCTAGACTCTCCACTCCGGTTTGTAAAATCATGATAATGAACTTTTCTATCCTTTGAAGAAAAAAAAAGTCATCATTATTTTTACTGGTAAACAGCATCATTATTATTAGAAAGTGGTACACCTCCACAAAGCTCAGCTACTCTTTTCCTGTATACATTTATAGCTACACTTTTTTTCCTCCAAGACCTCTTATTAGCACACCAAGTGCTAATTTAATACCAAGTAATTAATTAGCTCCTATTAAGAAATTTATAAATGTACAATTAATTCTTATGTGGAATTTATAAGGAAACAGACACAGTCATATTATTTTTTAATCAGTTTATGTCTGTCCTGTAATTTCTATATGAACATCTGCTGTGGTATTTATATCACCAAACATCTGTGTAACTACTGACAATAAAGCAGAGTTGCCTTACGGAGGTAATGTCTATGAGGTAGCATGTTGGTCCAGTAATGATGACAGGTTCACTCCAGCTGATATTAATACTGTGAGGAGATGTAGCAAAAACAGTCACGTTTTCTGGAGGACTGTCTGGAGCTGTAGGAAAAAATACGTGTGTGAATCATGGCCAAAGAAGTTCACAACAAATAACCCTGTATTTTCAGTGGCCAGTAGAAATAATTTTTCAATTTGAAAATAAAGCTTTTTCACACATTTACCATTATACACTGCTTAAATAATCATAACATTTTTTCTTTCTCATATATCAAGCATACAGTGTGATTTAGAAACACATATTTCATTGCGATTACTACAACTTTTCTAGAGTATGAACTGCTGGCAACTTAATTTTAAATTGAAATTATAGGGTTTTTTAATCACAAGTTATTTATAGGTATTTTACATGACACAAGCAAAATATATACAACTATTTAGACAAATGGACAAGCACAATATATTCATTTATGTGAAATGAATCATTCAAAGAACAAGAAATTGTGAAACCAAAGGTGTGCGTGTGAGAAAAAATTCCCAGCAATGTTGGAAAGTACCAAATGAATCATTCAAAGAACAAGAAATTGCGAAACCAAAGGTGTGCGTGCGAGAAAAAATTCCCAGCAATGTTGGAAAGTACTAGTATAAATAATTGTATACAGAAAAAATATTTTTTAGGTTTAATTTCAATTTATTCTTAACTTGTTGAGAAACTCTGGAAAACACACAGAAAAAAGTGCTACGGATTGTAAGCAGGCAAGAATGCTCACATTAAGAAATGGGATTTTCTCTAAATTACCTTTTGTCAAGGTGATATGTGAATTAACCTAGTTATTTTTCATTTGTGAATAAGAAATTAATGAAATCATAACAACAACACAGCAGTTCTCAGTAAGTGGTATTACTTTTTGAGAAATTAATGAAATCATAACAACAACAGCAGTTCTCAGTAAGTGGTATTACTTTTTCACAGCCATTGTGGTAAATTTCATAAAAATAAAATTTGGAATAGAAGTGACAAAAGATTTGTAGAAAATGCCAGAACTTGGCTTCATGTTGCTTTTAAAAAATGGTTAAAAACTATGATTAACACATATCAATGAACAGTCTGTCATACAAAATTTTGAAAGTGATCATATCTATCCTAATCAGAAGATGCAGTCTCTTTTCTCAAACATGATTAATGTATGAACATGTATTTTTTTCACCATTAATCATTAGGTAAGAGGGCTTAATGAGGAAAATTGGAGTGTACACAAGGCTACTTAGTTTTTTAGGTAGAAAACAGCTTGGGAAAAGGAAAAATAACATGGAAGGAGGTATGTAGCTATTGAAATCATGTGTCAAAGATTCATGATGAGAAATCATAAAATTTTGCACTGTGAAGCTGAAAATCTTGGACCATCATTGCCGAACAGGAAGATTTGAGAGTTGATAAGGTGCCATGAAGAGTTTAGGGTGCTGGATATAGGAGGTAGATTGCTGTGCTGGGATTAGCAGGAATATACCAGACTTTGTAGGCAGGATCAAATACAACGGCTGGCTGGAAGCAGTCCCCCAAAATACTGAATAGCATGGAACAACTGAATGAAGAGTGTAACTGAATGAGCTACGAAAGCACATGAGGGGTGGTGAAAGAGGAGACTGCTCAGAGAAGGCTGGCTGTTGAGTGGGGAGCTAGAACAGACAAAACAAAACACAAGGGCAAGCATATTCCCTAAAAACTAGAATTAGCACAAATTAAGCTTATTTTGCAGGTAAAACATGTCAGACTTTTTGCTCAGTGTCTTTTAGTGTAAACAACGCTTTCAGTAACTACGGCAATGGCATTACCTTTATTGCCAGCTGAAATCCCTGAAAATCACTATAAAATGATATAGATAGCCCTTGAGCCTTAGTTTCCAAAACCAATTTTCCATTACTTTTTTGTAGCATTAATGGAGCGTTTAATCTCTCAATATTGTTTTTTCTGAAGTCCCTTTATGTTTACGCATTAGACACGATGGTGTGAAATAAAGCATAATCAAATTTACAAATTATCCAACCTAAAGTTATTTATATGGATAATTTCCATATGCAGTTTATATTTGATACATTTTTAGATGTTTGCAAGAAAATTCTAATTGAGTATGCTGTATTTCATATACTTAATTAAAATACCTGGTTTATTTTCATCATGCAAAGTACCGTATCACACATTAACTAAATGATACTGAAATCTAGGAATACTTTCTGAAATAACCTCTGCAATTAAAAAGAAAACTAGAAAATTAAATGTGTCTAACGTGTCTCATCTTACAAAAACCGTCTTTTCAAAAACTGTGTTTGCTTCGGTGGGTAACTGCCACGTTCTGATTTAGGTTTGTTTGTGAAATGAATCTAGTCAATACGAGGCCATGATATCACTATACCCTTTCTCTTATAAATCACAGCAATTTACTCAGTAGAAATGACCTAGTCTTATTCTCTCATTCCCCCATAATCCAATCACTTCCTCTCATAAGCACTTTTCTCCTGGTTTTCACAATAATGCATTTTCTGTAACTAATAACCATCATTTCCTGATTATCATGCTTCTATCCTTGCACAGGAATGTGGGTCTTATGGAGGTCAGGGTCATCTTTCTCATCCATCTGTGTCCTGATGCTAAGGCAGCAGTTAAGCATGTTAGCTTGAAGATAAGTCTGGATAGCCCATCATTTAGCATAATCCTCAAAAATAAGGCTGAATACTCCAGTCTTCTAACAGAAATTCATGCTTGCCTGCTTGGCTAAGACCATCTCCTTTTTTCTTTTTCCCAACAAAAATTAAGTATGAGGTTCAGTTATTTCATTTTATAATCACCTAGCTTACTTTTACCTATACTTAAACATTTATATCTTAGGTCATATTTACTTGCCAATGTTCAGTTCTGAGAGACTGAAAGGAACAAAGAGAAAGTTCTCTCAGGCAAAACCTGCTAGAAGAAAGGGCATGCAACAAAAGATGAAATCTCACAGAAACATTTCTTTAAGCATACCAAGCAACTGGGTATCAGCAGGGATTGGGAAAGAAGGTGCTGAAAAGAGCAGCATAACTGTGCCCCATGCATCTACGTCCTAGACTTCATGAGACATTCAAACATCTGGGATTTTCCTTTGTATCTCAGTATATCCTGGCATTAGGAGACTTGGCTGTTTACCAAAAAGCATTGCATTGTGTAACTGCACAAGATCCAGTATGAGGTCAGTGATCTCACTGCCATTCATTTTCCACCTAATGCTGACCCTCTAATATGATTTTTCTCTTAGAAAGCACAAGTTCGGTCAATCTTATCCTCCTTATAAATGTAAAAGTGAAACTCAGGGTTAAGTGTGGGTGTGAGGGAACAGTTTCCCTAGCTATAGAAAACATTTCTTGCCCTTTCCCTTACTGTGACACAACACTGTGATCTTCTGTACTGGTAACTATATAAATCTAGGTTACGTTGAAAATATTTTATCTTGCAGAGTAGATCTGGCTCTTGGGTAATCTATCAGCGATCAGGGTAATAACAGTGCCATCAAACTACTTTATGAGACAGTAGGACAATTCCTGTGAGGATAATATGCGAGACAGAAGTCTGAATAGTTTATCTGTGTGATGTGAGAACTGGACTGTACCGAACAACCTATAACATTTTCCATGGACTAACACTATAACCACTTTCAGTACAGCCATGATTTTTTGTCCGAAACTTGCAAATGAGTTAAAGAATCTTAAAAAGAGTTTCTGCAGCCTTAAATTTACCTTCTTAATGAACAGCTGAAATAAACAGCTGAGCTAAGAGCTTAGTCACTGGATATTTAGAATTATTAGGTATTTCTGCTTTAGCAGGACAGTCAAATCCTCAGCTCTTGTAAAGAATATTTAGGGTTTCTGTTACGTAATTTTTGCTGTTGTTGAAGTTTCATCTCTTTATATTCTGGGAAGCAACTCTAACAGTTTTCAGCTTAAATGCTTTAATTTCCTGAATATGACTATAGTAATTATAACATTTTCTTTAGGCTTGAGAGAAACACAAATTTCTGAGATTCATTTGACTATTATTTCACAACCAAAGTAACTTTCTCTTTGGCAGAAGCAATGTTTTACAGAGGCATTTCTTGAAAACCAGAAACAGTGGCTAACTTCTGCCCTCAAATCTGCAAACACAACTCCCATTGATTTTATAGGCTAAGTACTCAGGGTATTTTACATAGCAGCTAAGCACCCTTAAGCCCTAACAGACCATGTATATTGGCTGTGCACCAGCAGGCTAATCCAGAGGATGCTTGGCCCCGTCCACAAGTGAAAGAAGAGGGGCATCAACACCTGTTCTCTGGATACACTCGGCAAGGCTGCCCAGAGTGCTGGGTCTGGTTTTTGTGCATCCCAAATTTCTCTTCCCTGCTACAGGCAGTACCCTTTGCAAGAGAAGGAGAGGACCTAAGGTTTTTCAGTCTGTTTAACAATATATCTAAAGACTAGTCTTTGACAAGTATGAGGTCAGGTAGCTAGAGACCTGTCCTTGCTAGAGATCAACTGCTTCTCAGGGAGGCTCCTAGCACTGCTGAAGCACGCCGGAGCTGCCAGCTGGCTACCCAGCTGCGACATGTCACCTTCCTATTTTTTTTTTTTTTTCACTCTCAGCTGATTGCCATTACCCCAGGAAAAAGACCAGCACCCAGCCATGATATCTGGAATAGTGCCCATGCTTCCTTGCCTCCATGCAGTGTGTTTTATAACCAGATCATCTCCTGACGTGTCACCGATTTAGCTCACAGGAAATTTGCTGCTGCCCATTCTCTCACCACATACACGGGCAAGCAGTCCCAGACACTCGGGCTGGAAGAACTGGTGGAACTTTTTTCACTTCTACCCCACTATTGTTTGTTAAACTAGCTAACAGAGCACACAGAGGACCTACTGCTGGGAACAACGCTGTATTGGCATGGAAAGGGCTTGTGCCGAGTCATGAGATTTTTACACTTTTAACTACTGTCTCCTGATAGAAAACTAGTTCTCAAACCAAATTATCACTGTCCAGAGAGGAAAATATAAAGAGGATCCTAACTTTATTTGATTATCTGCATTTTCATTATTGGCCTCTCTGTCCAGTTTAAATCCCTAACTTTCCCAAACTCAGCAACATTTTTTTTAAAAGAATTATTAGCATATGTCAGCAGCTGAGATGTATCCATCTAATAGCAGGAAATCTCCCCAGAGCTGCTGGCTCAAGAGTTGTACAATTTCTGTTAGCTATTTTCTGCTCCATCTGGTGTTATATGTTTGGGGTTTTTTTTCCCCACTTTCATTTAAATATTGCATTAATTTACAGGTATAGCATCCCCATAAGAACCACTGGACAAAGAAAGTAAGTGCACAGGAGATGACTCTGCAGCTGATTCCAGTATTTCACAATCCAAAGGATTGCTTCTGTGCTGTACATGAAAAACGGGCTGTTGTGATGTTCACTATCATGGTGTCCAAATCTCTTTGCCCTTTGGGGCTTCGAATTCCTTTATTGCAATTTGTCATCTGCAAATGAAGACGACAATATTTCCTTTCCTAGTAGAAAAATTGTGAAGTATTTAGCGATAGATGGATGTATTACTGCATGGGGAGTGCACAGATAGTATGAGGAGTGTTACATAAAAGCCTCCTGAATTCACATCAAATGATTGTAAAAACATGAGTGGAACAAAACAAATATGTGGACCATTGATTAGTCATTGGTACACAGCTGTTTAAGTCCTTGGTATCTCTATTATGATTACTTTGGAAGGGGAAAGGAGTGAAGGAGCTGTGATTTAGTCAGGCCACTCATGGTTGTTCTCAGTTGTTCCACGTGGACCAGAGGATGGATTTCAGATGTGCTCTGACCTAGGCTGGCTGCAGACTGGGAGGGTAGGTCATATGTCCCCACGACAACTGCCTAAATAATTCATGTTTCACATCCACTTCTCTCAAATATTTAGAGATGATTTATCTGTGACAACTAACTCTTCTCTTACTTGGAAACTGAAATCCTCACCTGAGCTATGACAGTTCTAATATGTGTCATGGCAGTCCTGTAGGTGCCGTGTGGCTAATCTGATCTGTAATCTCTTTAGGTGGATACGGTATTGGAAAGAAATCTTAATTCCTCTGAAACTATTGCTTAAATTCTATTGCCAGGAACATACAACAGAATTTCAGGCAAGTGTAACAATGTTAGTGAATGGACTCTCAGTCAAAGAATTAAAAAAAGGAGTACTTGTCACTGACACATCCCACATGTGAAGATGTATTGAAAATGGCATATCAGCTTCAAACAGACAACAGACATCAATTCTAGACACGAAGCAGGGCTGAGGAATGAAATTCCTGTTGGGTAAGCAGTAAATATAGTAGAGTGTACAAAAGGCTTTAAAATCTGAAGCAGTGTCAAGTATGCATACCTACCACATGATTTATATAATGATATTTCATAAATGAAGAGTGGCAATAAATCCTTATTAACTTCACCAATATTGTAGGTCTATGAAGAAATAACTTCTATCAAGTGTGCTTGCTTATTTACATGAACATCACACTGTTATAGCATTATGACACATGGCAGACATCTTTACTTACAGCCAGGAAGTGTTTGCGTAGCAATCCACGGTGAAGAACTGCCATAACCAACATTCGTACTGGCAGCAACTGCAAATCTGTACCATCTGTATTTTTTCAGTCCATACACTGTCTCTTCTATCCGGTCATCCACCACATTTTCATATAAATGTTGATGCATCTCATACTCAATACATTCCTTAGTTTCCCAGTCACTGCAGTGGATGGACTGTAGCTGTGTGGTAATCTTGTAGTTTTGAAAGTAGCCAAGGATAGTTTTTGGCGATCTCCAATTCAAGGTCACACTTGTTGACTGCACATTAGAAAAAACAATATCCCTGGGAGCACTGGGAACTACAAAGTAAAACACCTGTAAGATATCTTCATTTGAATGAAAAGTGATTGCAACTATAACCCTTCCATCCAGTGTTGAAAAAAAATTTTTTATAAGCATGTCTAAAGACCAAGATTCAATTTCATATGGTTGATAAGGAGTAATTCCATTGGCATAAATCACATTGTCCATATATAGGTGGCATAAATTTACTATAGCTTTTGAAATACGGAAAAATACTTTGAGGTGTGGCATGCAGAGGCAGCTTTGAGAGGTGTGACATTGCTGTTGCTACATTTGGGGCTATGTCTCAACTGAGGGAGGGAATATCAAGCAAAGTTATTTTTGGCCTACCCATAGCATCTTTTACTGCTGTTGCTAACTGGCATTCCTCACCTCTCACTTAGAAATACTCATTTGTCTCCCTCTCTCTTGGTAACATATGAAATCCTCAAGCAACACCTCAAGGTTTCATAAATGTCCTGTTTCACCTCCTAAATGGCAAGTATCAATACATGCAATATGTTTGTCTATCTTTATATAAGTGCTTTACAAGCTGTTCAACAAACAAAAAATTAAAAGAACACCAACAGAAAGAGCTAAATAATATGGCAATAGAAAGCAAAAAAAGAAACTTCCCATAAACTTTACTTCCACATATTTACAAACACACATATATGTAGGTATACGCAAGCTCTATTCATGTGCATGGAGGCAGCAGTAATACATGTGTGTACATACATGCACATACACACGTGCACACACATTTATCTGTATCTATATTAAGCCAACAGTGTACTCCCAGCTCTCGCAGACTGGATGCAACATATGGTTTTGTGCTGTATCATATAGTCATACAGTAAGCTAATATTATCTCTAAGGCTCTGTAAGATAATACTAATACTCTCTGTGGCAAAAACTGTGCAGAGAAATCAGCTCAGAAGTCGTTCTGTGCACTTAGCTTTAAAGAGTGCTTTAGAGTCTTTGGGGGAAGAAGTATCACTGGTAAAAGAAAAACACGATACAT